CTTATCACTGTCTGTGTCTTCTGCTCCTCCCTATGTCTGGCCACCATGAAAGCTTACAGATGCTTGAAGAGGACCTCCTGCTCCCCTTTCTGTCCTTGTGTGGCTCCCTGGCTCCACATCACTGAGTTATTCACATCGTCTTTGGTGATGTCCCCTCCAGGGGTTCCAGGTTCTTAACCCCAGGCCCAGGTCAGGTGGCCCTGGAATATCTCCCACAGACTCCCCCACAGACAACCCTATCTGTTGCCCCCACACATGTTGCAGAATCTTGTAAGCTGTCTGCTGTGTGTTGTTCTCAGGGAAACTTCCAGAGGGCAGTTTCAGAATTTTAAGATGATTCACAAAATGGATCAAAAGATAATCATTAGGTGGTTTTAAAAGATCTTCGGATTGTTCTCTCCTTCCCTCCCCCCCTCCCTCACTTCACCATTCACTTCTTTTGAGCTCAACAACCACTCATTGACCTGCAAGCACCAATCATGCCCTGGGGACCATAATTTGCACTGAACACAAAGTAATATGGAAGGGTAAGGCACAGTGTTGCCTTCCAGGAAATTAGCTGAAGTGAGCAGAAAGGCATGCTAAAGAGGTAACTAGTGAGCTACAATATTAGGATAGAGTTCTCCATGGAGTCTGGAGAGCAGAGGAGGATCCTGCTACCCAGGGATGACTCAGATGGCTTCATGGAGGAGAGGCCTTTATTAGGTATACACATTGTGGGCATCAAGTGATTTACATCCGAAGTTTCTTCTGGTAATGTTCTGTCTATGCAGGGAACAGAATAAGGGGAGAGAAAGATAAGCCCTGGTCTATATATACCACTGAATTGTTAGCATAAGTATGATTAAGGTTTTTTATATCTACCCACTTTCAGAGGGAGGGCAACCAGGACTTCTGATTACCAATAGGCAGCCTGTAAAATTTTCAGTGCTATTTTCTTTAGTAGAAGAACGCTATGGGGCGTCCCCTGGTGTTGCAGGCAGTTGAGCCCCGCACTGTGAAGCTGTCCGCAGCCTCTGTAGTGTCGGTTTGATCCCGGCCGGCCGGCCGGCTGGCAAGGGTCCCACATGGCGCAGCAGGCCTCTCCTGATTTGCCCGCTGCTCCCCTCAGCAGTGTATTTCGTCAGTCTGCTTGTTCTGTTCCCTGCTCTGTCTCTGATGAATTCTCTCGCCCTCTCGCACATCTAGCCTGTACCTCGGTTCTTGTATAAATAAATCTTTAAAAAAAAACCCAAAAAGCTATGAAATGGTGTGTGTCCTTTCTCCCTCTCCCAATTGACATGCTTGATGGAGGATAAGAATAGAAAAGTTGGAAAGGAGGCATCACAAGGCTAGAGCTGGAGATAGGAGTAAAAATAATTAACATACTCGTGAAACAAGTTAGAAAAGCAAAGAATCCAGAGGCACAGACTGGAGGTGGGGATATTGGGGCCATTGTAAAATAATCACCAGTACTTCCCAATTGAAGTAGTCCAAGCAAATAGAGAAAGAATCCCTAGGTGCCAACCATAGAAATAATTAATTAAACAGCAGTTAATAATCCCACAAAAGAATGAGTCCCTCCCCCCCCAAGAATAGAAGACTATATCAGTGCAATTTCTGCACTGGCACAAGGCAGCAGTCCTTCTGCCTGCCTGTGCCTATGCAGGAGGTCCTCACAGCCAACTCTCTGTCTCTCCGCAGGGCACAGCCTTCCTGCTTGCCAGTGACCTGTACTATGCTGGGGCTTCTCTTCACTGATCTCTCTCAGCAGAGTCAGCTCTCCTCCCAAGCCTGCCTGCCTGTGACCATGCAGGCCTCTCTAGTAGCAAACCTGCCCCTATAAACCTGCCTTTTCGGACATAACTAATGTCTCTGTGTCATGGAGAAACTCGCTTGGGAAACTCATTAGTGCTGCTGAAAGGAGAGCTCTGGTGAGAATTTCCCCAGTGTTAACCCAAGGACTCCACTCTCAGAATCCACCATCTCCACCATCTCCAAAAATGAGTTCTTGTTGACACTCTTAATCATCTATGTGACTGTATTTAAAGGGCCTTTATGAGAGCATGAAGGTTAAACGAGGTCAGAAGGGTGGGGCCCTAATCCTTGAGGACTTGGGCCTTATAAGAGCAAAAGGCACCACAACTTTCTTACAACCATGTGAGGACACATGAGAAGGTGGCTGTCAACAAGCTGGGAATGGGCCCTCACCAGGAAATGAAATTGGCAGGCACCTGATCTTGGACTGCCCAGCCCCTCAGTACCCCAGAACTCTGAGAAATAAATGTCTCTGGTTTAAGTTGTCCAATTTATGGCATGTGGCTGCAGCCTGAGCTGACAAAGACAAGGAAGAAGACAGAGCTTGTGCAAAATGAAGATATGACAATTTTAAGAGATTTCTTCGAGACTATAAACATTCTACATTTCAGTGATAATTCTGAGATCTAAATTATTTTTTTAATTTAAAAACAAAACATTTTAAAATTTAAATTAGCAAAGTCACAAAAGTCACATACATATGGTATGAGATCAGAGTAGTTTGTAGGTGTTTAGTGCCTCTCAGCACCTCCTTAAATTCACCACTTTAGGGACCAATTTTGAAATAGCTAGATTCAAGATATCTTTATCTTTAGAACCAGAATTCCGTCCTATTTTTAATTTCAATCCCTGCGACTTTATTTGCCTATATCAGTGTTTCTCAATCCCATCATAGAAAATGCTGCAGGGCACCTATAATTATCCTGGCCAGTATAGCAATGTTCTTATTAAAACCTCTCACAATATGGAGTTTATTTTAATTCACCTCAATTCATATTACATATCTAAAAACATCCCATATAAACCATATGGCACTTTAGAAGGTGAGCGGTTGCTGAGCGGTTGCTGGGAAATGAATCAATGCCAACATCTCATAATATCTTCAAGACCCAGAATTCCTAATTCGGAGGAGCATATACTGAGTGTGAAGCCACATTTGCACACGCCTGGGACCCAGCAGGGTGAGATTTATGGGACTAGACTAGGCAGATGTTTCAAACATCTTCCCTATCAATTTGACACCCTTGACTTGTAGTCTGAAGTTCCACAATGAAGAAAGTCCCTGAGGTAAAGACTCTTTTTTATTTAATTATTTTTTATTTTATGTTTTTTACATAATTTTTAATTTTTGTACAATGTATGCATTTTCATCTTGGTTATAGTTCCTGTAAAATTCCCACCACCCTTGTTTTGATCCTACTCCCTTCCCCCCCACCCCACCATGTAGTGTGTCTGTGGTTTATAGTTGCCTACTGATTTTGATTTTATTATAATTAGTCTTTTTCCCGATCCCTTATTTATGTTTTCTAAATTCCTGTTATGATGAGACCATCCGGTATTGTTCCTTTTCTTTCTGGCTTATTTCACTGAGCATGATCCCTTCCAGCTCCAGCCACGTTGCCACAAACAACCCAAATGCCCAAAAATAGATGCCTGGATTAAGAAGATGTGGCATATATACACAATGGAATATTACTCAGCAACCAAAAAAGATAAACTCATGCCATTTGCAGTAAAGACTTTTTTAAAGAGCGTGTGCCCCGCCTCTGTGTAGATGAAGAGGACAGCCACCACTCACGTGAAGACTCATGTGAATGGGTTCCACCTGGAGAGCTTCTGGTAACCTCTGACATCAGCACCACTGGGACCTGGGGGCTTCAGTGGTAAAGAGAGTAGGGTGGAGGCAGTATAAAGAGAAAGGAAGAAAGAATGAGGAATAGCCCTAGATGAGGGAAGGCAGGTGGCACACACACTGGGCTTGGGAGGCAGGGAAGAAGAAGACTGAAGTCCCCAGAACACTCGGGATGGGGTGGGGGCAGAAAGAAAGCAAAAAATGATGCTGAGGCCCCAGAGGGTAAAGCCATGGAGGGACTCAGCATCCTTTCACCAGCTGTATCAACCAGCACCCATTTCTGCAAGGCCCCTCCCTGCCTGTTGACACACTCCCTCTTGATTATCTTAAACCCTTTTTATAAAAACATTACATCCTGGGCCTCCCTGGTGGTGCAAGGGGTTAAGCACTGCACTATGAAGCAATCCGCAGCCTCTGCAGCATAAGTTCGATCCCTGGTTGGCCAGGGAGAAACACACATGGTGCAGCAGACCTCTCCTGACTTGCCCGCTGCTCCCCTCAGCATTATATTTCAGTCAATCTGCCTATTCTGTTCCCTACTCTGTTTCTGGTGAATCCTCTCATGCCTTGCATCTCTGGCCTGTACCCCAGTTCTTGTATGCATAAATAAGTAAATCTTAAAAAAAATTACATCCTCCTCTAGAGATTGAAAACCATCTAGGCTTGCTGCACAGCCACTTCCTCTGTGGCACCAACCATCCCGAGAAGGGACACCCTCCCCCATCCCCACGGCCTTGGGAAACCGCCACTTCAAATCTTTTGATTCTAAGGAGACACTTCATTTGCCATTGACAAGTGGGACACAGTGGCCCTTGTGATGACAAGTCATGCAGCTCTGAGGTGAGTCACAGTTTTTTTTCCCACTTCAGAAAAGAACATGATTGTTCGCGGTGCACTGTGTCACTGTCGACTTTAAAAGTCCTCAGGTCCCTGTTCAATCTGTGTCACCAAAAGCAAGGTTGCACCATCACTCAAAGGAGATAGAAGACATCAAAGAGTAGACATGAGCACTTATGATATAAAGATGTGCTAACAAAGATCAGAAACTACGCCCGGGGGTCAGAGCTCCTACGCCTAGGAGCTCAGCGTGGAACACAAGGACAAAACATGCGTCAGCAGCTCCGCTGCCACACTTGGGTTCCAAGCGAGACGTTCTGCTCTCCCCCCTTCCGACTGCGCTTCCCGTTGGCATTGCTCATCTGGACTCTAAGTGGCTCCCTGAGCTGTTTTTTCCAAAAGTCACCAAGTGCCCCTAGCCTTGAGGTGCCCACCCACTGCCATCATTACTGGTGGACGACCAGCACCCCGCGAAAGAAGAGAGGGTCTTGCCAGAAGCCAAGCCAGCACCTACCTGGTCCAGCTTCCAGTGGAACTCGGCGGGGCGGAAGGTGTCAGCCTGGTCGAAGTCCTTCCGCAAAAGGAATACAAGGCGGCAGTTGTGCACATATAGAGCATAGTGATGCCGGTTCATTTCTGAAATGCAGAAAGTGGATTTTGGGGGTGAGACAATCTGTGTCAATCTCTCATGAGAAGTCAGCCAACAACATCACTTAGCACACCTCAAAGGACAAAAGAATGGAGCATGCCAGTTTTCTCTTTCCAAATCGGTTTTGATGAACGTTCTAAAACACACATGAGGGATCTCACTGAAATGGAAGAGGAACAATCATTGACACAACAAAACTTCTGCTTTAATTAGGCTTTGAATACTGACCTAATTTATATTCAGATACTGCATCAGAAGCAGGATAAAAATTATTTAGGTTAACCAAGTCTTTGTTTGGGGTACCATGCTTCTGGGAGGGTTGGGGGCTTTCCGACAATCACATCCACCACTCTGGGCTCATTTAACATAGCTCTTGCTCTAGAGATTTTGGGCTTTAATTTGATGTCATCAGACTTAACAGTAGTCATAGAGCAAGTCTCTTCTCTCTATCTAACTTGTGTGCAGTAAAGGGAGCTGCTTCTGCTTCACCTTTAGTTCTTGCAAGGAGGGTATAGATTGATTTTCCAGAATTAGACATGGTTTTATGACTTTTCCCATACATTGACAATGGAGAGAATGTTTCTCTGATAAAAAACTTTTTTCCTGCATAGGAAATTTCATGTCATGGACTTTAGTTATGATATTCCATAATCTCAAGGAAACACCCATTGCGAAGGAAGGATCTACCCTTTGACCAATACTCAGAGAACTAACATTTCTTTACTACATTTACTACACATTTACTACCTATAGTATGCACAGAATCTGCCAGCAGACACATGACTGGGGCATTTGTGTCAGCTCCAAGCCTGTCTTTGTTGGCTCTCACGTCCTCATTCCCAATATGAGCGATCCTGATCTTCCTTCCGGTCGCCTTGTATGTTTCCTCTCCCAGCGACTGCTCTCGTTTAGGGGCGCCCCCACCCCCCATCATATCCACTCCTCTGGCCATAATCTTCTCTCCATGGAATGTAGCCCTTTTGGCTGCCCTCACAAATCTCTTACCTTCAGACCCTTGGGCAAGATTCAGGGCCCAGTTTGCACACACCCCAAATTTCCAGGGATGTGAGGGAAACTTTGCAGAGCTCTCCTGGGCTTTGCTCTGACATCAGCTTGGAGCTGGTCTAACAGTTTGCAGCTCAGCTAACAAGCCGCTGGGAGTGAGAGTCCTACCTCCGGTATGACAGAAAACCTCATTCCCTCTGAATGGTTTTCTGGGCATCTCTGGATGTATACGAGCACTTCTGCACTTTCCCCACAGAGAGGGGCTACCAGGCTTCTTCTGTCATGTGGAGATTGCTGGGCTAAAGAGGCTCCTGTCTTGGAAAGCCCCGTAGGGACCTGGCTAGCAATGTCTGTGGCAACTTATCATTTAATGCTCTCAGTTGACACTCAGATAACAAAAGGACTGAATGCCAGGAAGAGGGGATCCTGGCAGGAGGGACAGGTGTATGTGTGTGTATGTGTATGTGTGTAGGGGCAAAGTATCTGAGTAAAGGCAGGAAAGAGCACCATCACTCATACCTGGAATGGAGAGGTAAAGGCAAGCAAAGTGGGGTAGGAGGGGGCAGTGGCCTGTGCAGTCTCCTTTAGGTGTGTCTAGCTCATCCTGTTTCCTTTCTCCTGGACACACATTTGCTCTTTCACAGATTCCCCTTTGGTTTTGTGGAACCATGTGACCAAATTCTGGCCAATAGAATGTGAATAGAAACAAGGCATAAAACGTGTCTGTGTTCCACTCTATTCTGACTTGTTCTGTAGTTGAAATGGCAGCATCAAATGATGGAGGACCCTGGGTCCCAAAAGTCTGGCCAGAGCAGAGTGTCTCACTTCCCAGTGCCACCTGGATGGATGGACAATAACAGGAGGTCAAACCACCATGAAAGGTCAGCCACTGAGACTTTGGTTGTTGGTGTTGGTGATAATGATTTTTTACCTCTTTAAAATTGCCACCAGCCTTTGCTGAGTATTCAGTGCTATTATCCAACTATTTATAAATTACTTCATAATGGTTCAGCATTAGTAAATTTACTTAGTGGATAAAACAGAAACTAGCTTAATCTGCATTAATGATTATTTGCATCAGGAACCTTCCTAACATTTACATTCTTTGACTCACTAATTCAACTTCTGGTCACAGAATAATCAGAAATGTCCACAAAAGTACACACAAGAATGCTTGTTACAGCATTGTCTTACTTTCATTTAAAATGATACAATTTAAATGTCTGACAGAAGGGAGACAGTCAAATGAAGTATAACAAAACTGCATGATGGAATTTTAGGCTGTCATGCAATTCATATTGTTAAGGAATATTTTATCACATACAGAAGTGATCTTTATGTAATGTGATGTAAAAGAAAGAGAACATAATGGTATCACATGTATTATAAAAAGCAGATTGAAAATTATAGAGATATTTGACATATACAGTGAAATAAAAATAAGATTTCACTTGGTAATGAAGTATACCAAATGTTATCAGAAAATATCTCCAAGTGTTAGGATTTTATACTTTTCTGTGTTTTCCATTATAAACATATATTACTTTTATAACTTGAAAAAAATTCTGATATATAAAAGCCCTAATCAAGCTTTAATTTATTCCTGATATTTTAAAAATTTAGGTCAGGAGTTATTTTTAGACTTTTGTTTTAAGTTACAGAAAAATATTCCCCATTTCTTTGTGTCAGTGTTGAACTCATTTTTAAAGTGTTATTTTAAACTAAGACCAGGGCCTCCCTGGTGGCACAAGAGATTAAGTCTCAGCACTATGAAGCTATTAGCAGCCACTGCAGCACGAGTTCGATCCCCTGCACGGGAGCTACCCACATGGTGCAGCAAACCTCTCCTGTCTCACCCGCTGCACCCCACAGCAGTGTATTTCAGTAGATCTGCCTGTTCTGCTCCCCACTCTGTCTCAGGTGAATCCTCTCACACTCCCACCCCCGCACCTCTGGCCTACACTCCAGCTCTTGTATGCAGAAATAAAAAAAAAAAATCTTTAAAAAAATTAAAATAAACTAAGACCAAAGCTGAATGGCACCAGGTCTCTTAGATTTGAGGGTGCTGAAATGCTTGTTGGGTGGACAGCTCTGATGAAACTGAAGCATCATCAACTAATGCAGAGTTTTCAGACACGACATTTCAAAAGAATCCCTCAGAAGATTTGATTTATTGATCTGGGGTAGGGTCTATGTATTTTTACAAGTGTGCCAGGTTATTGTATTATGTAGCATGATTGAAAACCACTGACCCAACAGCATGGTCCTGGAATGCTGGGCCAGAGCACCTGGGTCCAATCCTGCTTCTCTTGGTAATGCACTGTGTTATTCTAGGCCATAGTTCAACCTTTCATATTCCAGTTTCCTCCTCTGTAAGCAGGAACATTTATATCTGTTTGATCTGTTTCCCTGGGGCAGCTGACACATTTCAGCAAGGATTTGTGTGGTAGCTAACCCAGAGACAGTCTCATTGATGCTGGTTTGGAGATGATAATGTGCGTGCCCCAGCAGACATTGCCCAGACTGTGCCTCAGAGTGATTCCTGGGACAGTGGGCTGAGTCTTGAACTCTGTCCCAAACCTCACACAAGTCTCTGGGGTCCTTCCATCAGGAAGATCCCAGAAATACCAATCTCTGCCATTGGCTCCAACACAGACTTATCACAGGAAATGCTGGGCAACTCTCTCTGTTTTAGTTTCTATATCCAGAAACTACATCAACACTATTGTAAGATCACTGAAATATGCATGGATCCTGTTAGTAGTTTAATGTGAAATAAAACCAGAAATAGTGATAATATCATCATGTGAATTAGTCAAGCATTGATTTTTTTTTTTTAAGACTTATTTATTTAGGGCTTCCCATGTGGCGCAGCGGTTGAGCGCTGGGTTGCAAGGCTGCCCGCGGCCTCTGCGGCGCCGGTTCGATCCCCGGCTGCTCCACGGCCACCAGAGGAGGGTCCCACATGGCGCGCAGACCTCTCCTGCTGCCCGCTGCTCCCCTCAGCAGTGTACTTTGGTCCTTCTGCCTGCTCTGCTCCCCGCTCTGGCTCTGGTGAATTCTCTCACCCTCCCAAGCTTCTGACTGTACCTAGTGCTTGTATAAATAAATAAATAAATAAATCTTTAAAAAAAAAAAAAAAGACTTATTTATTTATGCATATGAGAGCTGGGCCAGAGGTAGGGGGTTGGTGAGAGGATTCAACAGAGACAGGGTGGGGAGCAGAACAGGCAGATCTACTGAAATACACTGCAGAGGGGAGCAGTGGGCAAGACAGGAGAGGTCTGCTGTGCCGTGTGGGTTAGCCCCCTGGCCAGGGATCAAACTCATGCTGCAATGGCTGCTGATAGCTTCATAGTGCTGAGACTTAACCCCTTGGGCCACCAGGGAGGCCCTACACTTTCCATCTTAACCTCTGAATCCCAGGTTAACCCTACCAACCTGACCTCCAGGTGTCCTTTGCATTTTGCAGATCAGCACCAGTCCAGGCAGGGGACGAGACATTGGCTTAAATGAAAGATTAATTAAGTGTACATTTAAATGCATGAAAATGAGGCCATCAGTAAGACTTGGAAATTAAGGGATCTGCCCAGGGCAGAGCATTGTTTAAAGGCAGTGGTAGGAAAGAATGAAACACCTAGTATGTAAGCTGGTTACATAGGCAAAAACCGCAGCATGGTGCCAGGAACCCAGTCAAGCACTAATTTTATATCTGGTGCTGCTAAGTGATTCCATACATTATTCCCCCATTTTTACACATAGAGAAACTAAGGCTTAGAGAGATGAACAGCTCTGTGAAGGTCATACCTTTAATGGAAAACTGAGATGAATATTGATTGTCTCAGAGCAGAGGCTGAGCTGTTAGTCATTCTTCTATTCTGCAATACCTGCTGTGGTTATGATTTATTTTGGGTATTTTGACAAAAGTAATATTTGAAATGGGAAATTGTAAAATTATCATTTTAGAGTGTTGTAAAATTTGCATAAGACTCAGAAGGTGTGTTGCATGCCTGTGGGGTATAGTGGCAAGAGCATAAGTGTGGGGCGTGCTGGATCCAAGCTTGCATACCATTTCTGATATCTGCTGGCTTTGTAATTTGGAACAAGTCACTTAACTTTTCAGGAATGTTGCCTTATCCTTAAAATGGGAAACATAATAATGTTTTTCTAAAATTGTTTGCAGAGATGTGAGAGCCTATTTAGAATAGTAATTACTATTACTGCACGGTATTTTGTACAGCAATTGCTAGAATTGCACAGATTGCACTTCCTATGTGCCAGGTACTGTTCTAAAGCACCATGCATTCATTAAGTCATTTAATCATCATAAAAATGGGCATCATATGGTGCCCATTTTATAGACAAGAAAGTGAGGCACAGAGAGGTTGCCCAACTTGCCCAAAGTCACACAGTCAGTAAATGTAAATGGTGGAGTATTTTTAACTACCAAGCCATGAACTGCTTTGCAGAGATTCAACCAGCTGAAAATGCTAGCAAATGTTAGCAATCATTATTACATGCAGCAGTGACTTTCAAACTACTATTTAAAATTATCTGGCCCTTTAATTAATTAATTAATTAATTAATTTAAAAAGATTTATTTATTTATTTATACAAGCACTGGGTACAGTCAGAAGCGCAGGAGGGTGAGAGAATTCACAAAGCCAGAGCGGGGAACAGAGCAGGCAGAAGGACTGAAGTACACTGCTGAGGGGAGCAGCGGGTGGCAGGAGAGGTCTGCGTGCCATGTGGGACCCTCCTCCGGTGGCCGGGGAGCAGCCGGGGATCGAACCGGCACTGCAGAGGCTGCGGGCAGCTTCGCAACCCAGCGCTCAACCGCTGCGCCACCGGGGAGGCCCTGGTCCTTTAATTTAAAATGAACTTTTGAAAGTCTAACTATGAATAATATAGTGAAGATGGAGCTTCTTTATTTGAAGTAGGATCCAACCCTGCCCCCCTAACCTTGTCTCCTGTTGCCCTTTACATGTAGCAGCCCTAAGTGACTTCTAGGGAGCCCTAAGTGACTTGGGGTTCTGAAGAACTCAATTTGAAAAACACAAATCCCAATTTTTTTGATCTTTGTGTCTGTGCTTCTACTTCTTTACCTGAACCCCAAGTCCAAGAAATCAGCAGCCAGAAAACCAGAGAGGAGAATGTTTTCCCAGGGTCCTTCCCAAACCCTTGCTTTTCTCCTTGGTGACTGTGCCCCTGCCTACCGGGCTGGGACATATGGGCAGCCACCTGGAGCGCTGGGCTGCAGACTCACCAGTTTTATCTGAGTTGCACAGTATGGTTTCCTTCTCGGCTCTCACGCCGGGACTGGGGCCATGTTTCATCCACATGGTGATGGTGAACTGGTCTGTCAGGTTCTTGGGCACAATTCCATCAGGGATCTTGGCACCCTGCCTGCCGTCGAACCTGAAGATCATCTCACTGCTGTCCACCAGCAGTCCTGCAGTCCAGTTGGTGGCAGCACTCGGGGATGGTAAGAGGTCAATGATGCCAGAGGAGGCTCCTGCAGGGGAGAGAAAGGACAGACGGTCATTCCTCATGGATGAACTGTGAATTACAGTGGTTGAGAACATGGATTCTGAAGTCAGCAAAATTTGAATATGACACTGGGCAGCATGAGTTGCTAGCTTTGTGACTGTGATAAGTCACTTTCTTTTTCTGACTTTCCAGCTCCATATCAGCAGTCTGTCCCTAACCCTGAGTAGGTGACTCAGGAAAGGAAGAGCAAAATGCCATCCTTGCCCTGAGTTGTTTATGGTCTGCTTGGGGAGGATCAGAAACTTACAGATAAAACTATTGCATGTGATAAGACAGGGTGCAATTAACTATTATATAAGGAAAAAGTGCCTGAAGAATATAGAGAAATGAGATTACCCTAGAGGCTTTTGTGAACAGGGAAGGTCCCCAGAGAAGCCATGGTTTGATTTGGATGGATGGATTCATTCAGGCATTTATTCATTCAGTCAACTGTCAGTCATTTATTAGACACCAACTACGGGCCATGGCCCCTCCAGGTGCCGGTGAAGTTGAGATCGATCAGCAAGGTCCTTGATCTGGGGCTACAGACAACGGCACCACAATGTTATCAGGGCTGTGGCTGGGGAAATGATAGGTCCTGGCCCCATGGAAAGGACTGAGTCACTTTGTACACATCAAGGATTTTTGCAACAATTTGTTTATTGCAACGAATAGTACAGTGATTGAGAACATGGGTTCTGAGGTCCGCAAAACTTGAATTTGACACAGAATGCCTTGCCAGCTTTGTGACCATGAGGACTTCATTTTTCTGACTTTCCAGCTCCTCCTGCAACTTCCCCACTCCAGTGCGTATGGTGAGAGACCGCGTCAGCACAGCACCAGCAGCGGCCTGCTCACTGCATTGTGAGTGCTCACACCAGGTTAACTAGAACTTTATTATTATTACTACTATTATAATTCTGCTACCACTATGATTCCAAGCTGAGGTATATGACTTAACCTGGACCTGTGGGAGTGTCACAGGCAGATTTGTCTTAGGAGAATCACACTGACAGTGTTGTGGAGGTGGGAGTTGAGGTGAATGGGGTTGGCTGAAGGGCAGAAGACTGGATGCCACGACCATAGAGGGTCTTGAGCCTCCACTAACACTGCTGCAGCTGAGTGCTGGAGCTGAGCTGCCCTTCTTCTTGCGTCCCTCACAGGATCAGTACTCAGTTCCTTAGGGACAGGAGTCGGTCTGGGCTCCCTGACATTGCAAGGGAAAAGAGTGTAAGATGTACCCAGTGCTGGAGGCCTTGGGCTGGGGGTCATCCTGGGCACAGCACTGACCTTCCAGTCATAAATGCTGACGGGTTGAATGGACAGTGCACTACCTGCTGAGCCTTAGCGATCACTGGACTTTGGAATTCTATATATCAGAGCCTCTTCTCACCAAGGTCCACCACCACAAAAATCTCCTACCATTAAAATGACCCTTGGAAATCCCTCAGGAAGTGATAATATTGAAGACTAATACACATCTTTGAAAACGGTCAACCCAACCAGTGTTCCAAACCTTCAGTGGTAGAACAGATCATCAAGTCTGCAATGGAGGACTTGTGCTTTGCAGCTGAAAATGATGCTAAGTGAAAAGTGTGTGTCCTTAGAGATAGACAGTGTTTTTAGCACTGGGAGAGGCGCAAGCTGGGGCAGGCTACCAGGAACTGCTGAGAGGGTGGGAGATGCCCACCTCCCAATTCATGATTACTCTGCTGCTCATGTGTATCAAGGGGAAGTGTGGATAGCATTGACTATTGTCCACAGGATTTTGCCTGGTACTGTGCCTGGCACACAGTAGGTACCCCATGAATATTGATAAAGACTCTTTTCTCACCCAATCCTCCATGAGGTGCTTCTAGCCATCTTCCCTCCGGAAGTCTTTCTATGCTAAGACTCAGGTAAACCTGCCTGTCTTGCCTCTCATCCAAGTCCCATGCTCATCAGTACTTACCTGTTCTCATCCCATGCCTATGTCTTGTTTGCTACCCCTTTTACTTATCTGATACCTTAATGCCTACTAATGTTTTAATGACCAACAAAGCCCTCAGGGCTATCACTTTCCAAAGAAATCTATCAAGGTGGTAGCAGATAGAGATCCGGGGTGGTTCAGGAGTGGGAAATAAGTGGTCTTTTGGAACAAGCTCAGGATACTCCCAGGATAATGTAACATGGCAGCATTATCTGCTCTGACCCAGAAGTAAATTGGCTCTGACAACAGGGTTTGGTCAGGGTGCAGGTAACTGACTACTGGGGCACATGCAGAGAGTGTGACAGTTCCTAAAATTTCAGATGACCAGAGAGACAGAGTCTGAGCAGCCAGGGCTCCTGACTTCTAGTTTAAGTCAGTACAGCTAACACAACCTAGGAGGTTGCAGAGAACCTGGTTGCTGCCAAAGTCAAAAAAAGTCAATATTAGAGCAACGATCCAACCCCTGATGTTTTTACAGACTCCACCAGCATCTCCACATTGAAGAGATCTCAGGTGCCAAGAATCACAGCTCCCAGCATGGCATGAACCTGACATCTGAATGGGGCCTACAGGAACTACGAGAGGAGATAAGCAGCCTTGCTTGACTTATAACTGAACATATGTGTGCTTGCTTTCCTGGCTTTAGCTTGAACCCTGGTAGTGCTGAAAGAGACACATAGAAGGAGACATGTGGAGGAGAGACACTTGGAAAGATACATGGAAGAGATATGTGGGCCAGAGACATGTGGAAGGCTGTTCCTCATCCTAGGCAGACAATGATAGTTGTTATCTTGACCTCATGTTGGATTACATGATGCGTTTTGAGTTTTTTTCTATTTTTAAAATACTTATTTTGGGCCTCCCCGGTAGCGCAGCGGTTGAGCCCTGGGTTGCGAAGCTGCCCGTGGCCTCTGCAGCACCAGTTCGATCCCCGGCTGCTCCCCGGCCACCGGAGGAGGGTCCCACATGGCGAGCAGACCTCTCCTGCCGCCCGCTGCTCCCCTCAGCAGTGTACTTCGGCCCTTCTGCCTGCTCTGCTCGCCGCTCTGGCTCTGGTGAATTCTCTCACCCTCCCCCGCGCTTCTGACTGTACCCAGTGCTTGTATAAATAAATAAATAAATAAATCCTTAAAAAAAATAAATAAAATAAAATACTTATTTTTCATTCTAACATGGGTAAATATTCAGCTTTTTTTTTTTCAATTTTTTTTATTTATACAAGAACTGGGGTACAGACAGAGGCGTGGGAGGGTGAGAAAATTCACCAGAGACAGAGAGGGGAACAGAACAGGCAGATGGACTGAAGACACTGCTGAAGGGAGCAGGGGTGAGACAGGAGAGGTCTGCCGCGCCATGTGGATTTCTCCCTGGCCGGCTGGGAATCGCACCCGCGCTACAGAGGCTGCAGACAGCTTCACCCGCTGTGCCACCGGGGAGGCCCCATTTTGAATTTGAGTATCTTCTGTCCCAGCTCTCTGGGACCTGCCTAGTCCCTTTCTTGTGGGTCCCTGCCAGAAGGTCTATTAGACATGTGGCAAACTTTTGGTTCTCAGTGGCCCAACTTTAGGCCAAACCTATTTGACTGGGCATTTGCCCATAAGGGGATGGGTAATTTTTGGAGGCTGTTGTTACTTGAAATCCATTCTTTTTCTATGTACACTAATTCTGTTTAAAATATTTCACACTAAGAGTCTGTTTCCTTTGCCTTTGTGTGCATGGAAGTCTGGATCCCTTTTAGAGTGTGCACCCCTTAACAGTTTGGGGTCCCCTGAGTACTTCTCTGTTGCATTCTAACATATGGAGTGGGCAGACCTTTACACAGTAGAACTGGTATGTGTTTGACAAGTCTCAAAACTCACCCATTTGAAGTTCCTTTTAGGCTAAGGAACTTGCTGTTGTTACACAGCAGATGCCCTTGTAAATTCACACTGCAACTAATGCTTTAGATCAGTGAAGGAGCTGATTACAAATACCCTCACTTCTCCCCTCCCCCCTCAAAAACAGGTTTGCATAGAGGTAAGGGATAAAGCAAGTAGGAGTATGGGGTAATGAGAATCTAAATAGGAGGTTGGGAGGCAAAACTAGTTTTTTTTTTTAAAAGATTTATTTATTTATTTGTTTGTTTGTTTGTTTTATACAAGCACTGGGCACAGTCAGAAGCGCGGGAGGGTGAGAGAATTCACCAGAGCCAGAGTGGGGAGCAGAGCAGGCAGAAGGACCGAAGTACACTGCTGAGGGGAGCAGAGGGCGGCAGGAGAGGTCTGCGCGCCATGTGGGACCCTCCTCTGGTGGCCAGGGAGCAGCCGGGGATCGAACCAGCGCTACAGAGGCTGCAGGCAGCTTCGCAACCCAGCGCTCAACCGCTGCGCCACTGGGGAGGCCCGGCAAAACTAGTTTTACATTTTGCCAATGACCATCATTGATCAGGGATATTCTATGCCTACATCATACATGCACACATACACACACACACACAACTTTATTTTTCACAGTTATAGTCTTTTATTATTATTTCCATAGGGATATTTTATTGGGCACTGAGTGAGTGCCAACCATGAATTAAGTACTTAAACAGTAAATGTGATGAATGTTATAATGATTCCAGTTTACAGATGAGATGCTGGAGGCTCAGTGAGCCCAGGATTCACAACCAGCTAGTGAATGGATGAACTGTCAGGACTTTCCAGCCGCAAAGCCCATGATCTCCACCGCACCAACTCAGTGAAACAAGAGGGAGATCTGGCAACTACCTGCACATTTTACCAACATGGAAACAGGACCAGAAAGGGGAAACAACTCGACCAAGATCACACAGGCACACAGCTACCTAGAGGCAAGCCCAGCTCTCCAGCATCCAGCTAAGGTTCTTTCTACCATAGAGCTCAGTCCTCCTGGACCCTAACTCCCATTTCAGTGCTGTCCACAGAGGTGTGCTGAAGGTAGCAGACACCCTGGCAAGGCCATCGGTGTGGTGTTCTCTGTCTCTCTGGTGAGGAAAGCGGCAGGCCACCCTACCT